GAGTACCAGGGATGAGACCCAGCTTCTATCCCTTATTAGCTGTGTGACCTTTGGCAAGTTAATTAAACTCTCTGTTCCTTGGTTTCCCCATCTGTATATTAGAGATAATATACACACCTCAGAGTTTTATAAAGGAGTTATTACATGCAACACACTAAAAGCAGTGTCTGACACACAGTTAAGTGCTCAGTACATATTAGTTATCCTTATTAATATTACTATTATTGAGCATGGACATTTTCAGGATTCAAAATAGTGGACATCAAGAAGTCACTCACACCTCCCGAAGCCTGAGGAGCCTTCATCCACTGTAGAGATGCCAAGCCAAGAAAATCAGAGATGGGCAATGTTTGGGTGGCATCTTCTCAGTTTGCCTGGGCATCTTTACATTGTTGATGACCACAAGGCCAATCAATCCCCTGTTTAATAGACTCTTTCCTAGGTAAACGAACACACCTTTCATCAAGTTGCAGTCAAGTTTTGATGAACTGATAGCATTTCTTTTCTAAGATGCCTTTACACAGCCCAACTGCAATATGAGATGATTTTATGTTCTAACTCTAATGTCAGTCTTTCTTAACATGTAGTTCTTAAAATTATTTTTAATTATACACCAATGCACTAAAATGCATTCTTCATTATACCTTCTCAATGCACAATACCTTCTCATTGTGAAAAACATAAAACTTTACACATAAGGCTGAAATCCTGCCTTTTTTATTGTGGTAAAATACGCACAACATAAAATTTACCATGTTAACCTTTTTTTTTGTTTTTTGGTGAGGAAGATTAGCCCTGAGCTAACATCTGTTACCAATCCTCCTCTTTTTGCTGAGGAAGCCTAGCCCTGGGCTAATATCCGTGCCCATCTTCCTCCACTTTATACATGGGATGCCTGCCACAGCACGGCTTGATAAGCTGTGTGTTGGTCCACGCCTGGGATCTGAACCCACAAGCCCCAGGCTGCCAAAGCAGAGTGTGTGAACTCAACCACTGCACCACCGGGCCAGCTCCACCACGTTAACCATTTTTTAGTGCACAGTTCAGCGGCATTAAGTATATTCACATTGTTGTGCAACCATCACCACTATTCATCTCCAGAACTTTTTCATCTGAAGTCCTGTTTTGAAACCCTTGGTCCCAATCCAAGTCCCCTCTTTTTTGGGTTTGGCATGTGTATAATCCCAGACTGTATTGTCCATTTTAGGGGATCAAACACATACCACACATGCTGGGTGGGCACAATAGCCCATCAGGGAGAGAATCCTTGGCGGGTGTCTCACCTGAAGGCCTCTCTCACTCCAAATCTGGTGGAAGCATTAATAAGCAATAAAGTGACAGCATTGTTTCAAAGGAGGCGATCAGAACCTGGCTGACTACCATCTGAGCAATTAAATACTCAATGATGTTTCCCACAGCTCCTGGTAATGTGAAACTAGGTGCTTCCTACTAAGACATGGCATTAGTAGAGACAATCCATTTTCATATTTGCAAATATCCTTTACTTTCTTTGAGTAGAAATAGACTTTAATAATGTCTAGACTCCTGTCAAAGCTGGCCATAAATATTGTCATTCCTGGTTTTGGTTTTAACTTAAAAGCAAAACTGGAAAGAGACATCCTGTTTGTGAAACATGATCTCATAAGGTAATGCTACAAATATATAAAAATTCTGAATAAAATAAAATACGAAAGTATAATTAGAGAGTTGAACTTGGAAAAAAGAAACAAGAAAAGAAGGAAGAAAATGAGCAAGGGGCCTCCTCCACCCAGGGGGCAATGACCTCACTTGCAGTGGCTCAGGAAGTGAGCAGATCTGATACAGGTCCTGAGGGCCAGAGTTTTAACACTTCATGGGGTAGCATGGGCCTCATTGAAAACAGTGAACTTAAACTGCAACCATGCATACAGCCTGGACTTTGGAGGGGTGGGCCTCTCAGTGAACAAGGGGACTAGAAAAATTAAACCCACCCGCCCAAGGAAGCTTTCTTTACCCACAGCTCTAGGTAGAAAACAAAACAAAAATACTTGTGAGGAGTCCAAATTCTAGACCAAGGTGGGTGTGGCATCCCAATCTACACCACCAGTATAGTAGGGAAGTTTCAAGAACTTCAGATAATGGATTCTAAAGTGACTATAAAATAAATATGTTTACAATTATTAGAAAGAGAAATAAAAGTCATGAGAACAGGTAAGTGTTAAAAAAGAACAGAAACTTTAAAAATGGAAAATATGGTTATTAAAACTTAAACTAATTGGATGGGCTAAAAACATATTAGACAAGATTGAAGAGAATTAATGAACTGGAAGACAGTTATGAAGAAATTATCCAGAAAGAAGCACACAGAAACAGGAAAATAGAATGCACTTAAGAGACATGTAAGACAGAATGAAAAAAAAAAAATCTGTCTTATAGGAATTCCAAAAAGGATAAGTAAAATGTTGTTTGAAAATAACAGCTAGTGATTTTTTAGGATTCATGAAAGACATGAAACCTCAGTTCTGAGCAGGAAAATAAAAATAAATTCTAAATATATAATGGGGAGACAACCCCAAAGACAAAGAGAAAACCCAAAAGCAATCAGATAAAAGACAGACTGCCTATGAAAGAATAATAATTAGACTAAGAGTGCATTTCTCATCAGCAACAATAGAAGCCAATAGAACAGAGGTTAGCAAACTTCTTCAGTAAAGGACCAGATAATAAATATTATAGGCCTCATGAGCCATATGCCCTTTGAGCATTTACTCAACTCTGCTATTACAGTACACTAACAGCAAGAGACAATATGAACACAAATGAGCATGACTGTATTCCAGTAAAATTTTACTTTTGGACATTGAAATTTAACTTTTATATAATTTTAGTGTGTCCTAAAATATTCTTTTGATTTTTTCAATTATTTAAAAATGAAAAAAAAATTCTTAGCTCATGAGTCACACAAAATAGATAATGGACCGGATTTGGCCTATGGACTATAGCTTCCTGACCACCAGAATAGTATTTTAAAAATACAGAGGGAAAAACAACCATTAACCTAGAATTTTACACCTAGCTAAACAATCATTTAAAAATAAAGGTGATATAGGGGCCGGCCCGGTGGCACAGCGGTTAAGTGTGCGTGCTTCGCTTCAGTGGCCTGAGGGTTCGCAGGTTCGGATCCCGGGTGTGCACCAATGCACCTCTTGTCAAGCCATGCTGTGGCAGTGTCCCATATAAAAAGTAGAGGAAGATGGGCACAGATGTTAGCCCAGGGCCGGTCTTCCTCAGCAAAAAGAGCAGGATTGGCATGGATGTTAGCTGAGGGCTGATCTTCCTCACAAATAAATAAATAAATAAATAAAGGTGATATAAATACAATTTCATACAAATGCTAAGAGAAATTACCATTCAAAGAACCCAGTTAAAAGAATTAGTAAAAGGCGTATATCAGGAAGAATAAAATTAAAATCAGAAAGGAGTAGAATACAACATGAAATGCTGGGAGGAGAAAATGAAAAACGCAGGTATATCTAAATAAGTATTGATAGCAAAATGAAAAGTAATAATCATGATAAATTTTGCTTAAAAAAAAAAGCTGAGTTGAATTACCAGACAATAAAAACTTGTGAGATGGAAGGATGGCGATCTGAAGTAAAGCCTTCTAAGGTGCTGTATCTTTGAGAGGAGGCTAGAGATGATTAACTTTAAACTTTGTTAAATCGATCATGCATAGTTACAAATTTAAGGGAAACATCTTTTTATTTTAATAGTTATTTGTTTATTTTGTTAGGTCACTTCTCTTTATCATAGTGATATAAAATCTCATTCAATTTATTTAAAATTTGAAAAGTGAGATAAAAATATTTAAACAATAATATAGGTGGTACACAGCTACGGCAAATATTTTTACATTGGTTACAAATGACTGCAGTTTGGGAAATCAGTGTAAAATTTTTTCGAAAGCAGTATCTGCAAAGGTAGACATCATATTTCTACATACCTAAACATATAAATATATTTCTTCCAAACACCAAAAGAGACTTGCAGCTGTCAGAATTCTCTTAATCAATGAGCTATCAAGCCATGTAAGACATGGAGGAAGCTTAAATGCATACTACTAAGTGAAAGGAGCCAATCTGAAAAGTCAACATACTACATGATTCCAATGATATGATATTCTGGAAAGGCAAAAAACTACGGAGATCATAAAAAAAAAATCAGTCGTTGCAGGGGGCAAAGGGGTGGGGGGAAGGATGAACAGGCACGGAGATTGAACCCTAACGTAAACTACAAACTTTGGGTGATAACAACGTGTCAATGTAGGTTTATCGACTATAACAAACGTACCACTCTGGTGGCGGATGTTGATAGTGGGGAGGCTGTGGGAGTTGGGAGGGTGTGGGGGGGTGCTGGGGAAATACCAAATTCTGTGAACCTTTCACTCAATTTTGCTGTGAACCTAAAACTGCTCTAAAAAATAAAGACTTTTTTTTTTCTCTTAACCATTTGCTTGCAGATAATTAATTTTTCTGTTTCTGTAGGCAGGACAAGAATTACACCAGCTAAAATTTACTGAGCACTTTACATAGGTTTTCTCTTTAATCCTGGTGAAATGGATATTATTACCCTCCTCTTATAGTTAAGGACATTGAGGCCAAGAGAATTTACATAATTAAGGCACTCTTAGAATTTAAACATCTGTTTATCCGACCACAAGGCTGGCTGGTTTGCTAGTACTCTGCTGACTTATTTTTTTTTCCCTATTATCTGGTTTTAAAACACCGTCCGTTATTTTTAATCACAAACCTTAGAGTTAATTATTTGAGCACAAGTGTGCAGAAGGGGAGTGGACCTCAGAGACTACAAAGCCTAGAATGCAACGCAGCGCCGGGCCGCCTAGGAGCGCAGCACCTTGCCCCCTCAGCATGCTGGGAATGCTAGTTTTCTGGCCTGCCGATCTTCGCCAGCCCTCGAGCATCCGGCCCGGAGCTTGGTTCCCACTCCCTTTGCCGGGCGCCACAGCTCGACAGATACACCCGTCCTCGCAAGGTCATCCCAGTCCTGGAGACTGACCTGGGGACGCGCCCCTGACGCCCTAGACCCTGTAAGAGTGTCCCTGCAGGGCAGGCCAGCGCTACCTACCTCAACCGCAATTCCCGGACGCGGCGCTCCACCCCCGGCTCCAAGGAGGACGCGCAGCTCGGTTACCACGGAAACGACGCTGCCTCCGTCACGGTGCGTGCTGGAGGTCAAAGGTCACCCCCAGTCAGTTCCGCTTCCGGTTCCGGGCTCCAGTTTGTTGTCAGAAAGATTTGGAGAGTCGTTGAGCTTTTGGGGCTGGTTTCTGGGGTCCAGGGGTCGCCCGAGGTCTGCTGCTGCAGCCATGGCGGCCTCCACCGCGGCTGGGAAGCAGAGGATTCCCAAAGTGGCCAAGGTAGGCGATAGCGAGGGGCCTTGTGGGAGGAGGCCTGGGAGAGGGGCTTGCCTGAACCCCCGTGGTGCCCGGGGCGGGAGAGTGTTGTCCCGGGCGCAGGCCCACCCGGTGCGGGGCCGAGGGAGAGAAAGAGAGGAAGGGTCAGCCGGCGGTGGGCCGCAGGCTCTTGTCACCACGGAGCAGCCCGCATGGCCTTCGTTCTGGGGAGTTGTGTTTGCGGACGGAGGATTGGGGTCATTTAGCAAACATGAACCGAGAAAGGCAGTGCGCTCGGCGCTGGGGAGCTACGCTCTAATGCGGGCCACGAGCAGTACTCAAATTTAAGACACGAGTAAGTGTAAAATTGCAGCCTTACCAAGTACTACTGAGGCAAAGTAGAGTAGGCCGTGGAATAATGAGAGTTGTGTGAGGGGGTCTCCAGAGTACATTTTGCTGAGGAAGTGACATTTAAGCCGAGACTTGAAGGCTGAGTAGGAGTTAACCCAGCTGAGAGTGGACAGAATGAGAGTAGATGACAAGAGTTATGTAGAGGCATAATTTAAGTTCATTAAACAATAAATTTGATATTATCTGATATTTGCATCCATAGCTGATACTTACCGAATGGCTAATAGGTGACAGGCTTTGTCCTGAGCCTTTACAGATACTCTTCCTCCAGTCTGTTTCTCCAGCCCAGAGGGCTCTCTTGAGCTTGTCCTTTACATATCCATTTGGATGACTCCCAGAGATGATGCATCTAAAGCACATAGCATAGTGTCTGGCCCTTAATGCACATTAGATATGAGCTGTCATCATTATCATCATCATTATTCTACACATGGCATTAAATAATTAATGTTTTTTATAATTCAGTTACATAAACTTGTATTGGGCACCACTGGTCCAATGGAAATATGGTGTGAGTCACATATGTAATTTTGTTTTCTCATAGCTACATTAAAAAGTCAAAACGGGCCAGCCCTGTGGCAGAGTGGTTAAGTGAGTGTACTCCACTTTGGTAGCCCGGGGTTTGCAGGTTCAGATCCCGAGTGCGGACCTACACACTGCTCATCAGGCCATGCTGTGGCAGGCATCTCACATACAAAAAATAGATGAAGGTTGACCCTGATGTTAGCTCAGGAACAGCCTTCCTCACACACACACACACACACACACACACACACAAAAGTCAAAACAGGTGACATGAATTTTAATTACATATTTTATTTAACCCAGTGTATCCAAGATATTGTCATTTCAACATGTAATCAATATTAAAAAATTTAATTAGGTAGTTTATTCTTTTTTTCATACTAAGTCTTCAAAATCCACTATGAATTTTACACTTACAGCCCATCTCAATTTGGACTCACCACATGTGGCTCATGGCTACTATACTGGACAGCACAGTTCTAAGACCTCAAGAAGCTTACAGTCTAATGATGGGAACTTACTGAATATTGTCTTTGACTTGGAATGCCATGAAAAACCAAGTACAATTAACCATGTGGGGCATAAGTTGAAGAATTCTGTAAATAGAGGTTGTAATGCTAGATAAAAAATGGTATACATCTTGATAAAACAAAACCTCTGGTGACAATTTTACCTAGGCAGTCTCAAAGTTTATTATTATACTAATCTAAAAGGGAAAACTTGCTATTTTTGCTACCTTTTCTCTTAAGACTTTTACCCATGGCTTTGTAATAAATACCATGCATAAGATAGAAAACATAATTTTTTTTCTATTTAGTTTCGTAGAGAAATGGGAACATGTCATACAAAAAGGGCATCTTGTAATAATACTTATAAAATTCACATCCTAAGAAATGTTTGTTTCCTAAACCTTGTGTGAAGATCATCTGCTAAAAATAGAAATGTCTTCTGTCTTAAAAGGTGAAAAACAAAGCCCCGGCTGAGGTACAGATAACTGCAGAACAACTCTTAAGAGAAGCTAAAGAAAGAGAACTTGAGCTTCTCCCACCTCCACCTCAACAGAAGATCACAGATGAAGAAGAGTTAAATGATTATAAACTAAGGAAAAGGAAGGTCCGTCAATGTGATATCTTTTCGTCTATTAATATTGTTAAGAATTTATAGGTCAGAGTTTGAAAAGTTCCTCACTGGTTAGAGAGACTATAAAATAAGAAGGGGTTAGTGTTTCTAGCCACATGCATAATATAACTTCTGGTTACCAGATAACTGCCTTTTGTTGAACTTTATAAAGTATGCCATGAGTTGGCTGTTTTAAAGTATAAAGTAATTAAATCCGCCAGACACCTAATTTTTGATGCTGAATCAAAGATGGGTAGAAGTTTAACAGGTGGAACAACTGACAGCTGGAAAAGGGGTGGACTTAGCAAGACAGCGTTATGTACTTCTGTCTGTACCACTTTCTATGTTAAGAGTTAAGACCTGGGAGAGAGCCATGAGAAGACTCAGGGAACTGATCTGACCTCCTCTCCCTAGAGTGTAGGATTATTTTAAACCACTAATCCTATTGTATCAACTTATTAGTTATCCTCAGTAAGTTTATATATGAAATTCTGAGACATTACTGGGAGGACGTAAATAGTCAAAAGCGTTTTCTTATTAGGAACAAGTAGAGTATGTTAAAGTATCAGTTAGTTGTTAAGAGCAATAAGAGAAAATATCAACAATTCTGCTAATAATGCTTAATATCTAAAGTTTTTCTTTTTGTTTGCATGTAAGAGTTGAAAGAAATACCTGTGATTGTAACCTTCTTTCGTGGGTTTCTTATTTCTCAAGGATTCTTGGATGTAATTTCTCTTAAATAAGAACATAATGGGCCGGCCCCGTGGCTTGGCGGTTAAGTGCGCGCGCTCCGCTGCTGGTGGCCCGGGTTCGGATCCAGGGCACGCACCGAGGCACTACTTCTCCTGCCATCCTGAGGCCGAGTTCCACATATAGCAACTAGAAGGATGTGCAGCTATGACATACAACTATCTACTGGGGATTTGGGGGGAAAAAAATAAATTAATTAATTAAAAAAAAAAAAGAACATAATAACCTTTTTAGTACAAGAATTAATACACAAAATGTAATGTCATTTTTCGTTATTTTCCTTTAATTTGACCCTTTTTGCCTTCCGCCAGACTTTTGAAGATAACATAAGAAAAAACAGGACTGTAATTAGTAACTGGATAAAATACGCACAATGGGAAGAGAGTCTAAAGGAGATTCAAAGGTAAAATTGCTGAGCATCATTTATGTCAGTTTGTACATAAAGACATCATAAGGTAATAGATATAAAAAAATAGAAAAAGTTAACGCACAAGTAAAAGATTGTGCCTCTGGTAGTAATTTTCAAAAGTTTGTTCCACGGAACCCTAGGTTTCCTTTGAAGGGCCTCAGGGGCACTATGGTAGGCTAGTCCTGGAGGGAATAGCGGAGGAGGCTCTATAGTTAGGTCTCGCCACTAACACACACTCTACAGCCAGAGAAGTGCAGTTTCATCTGCTTTCTCTGTATTGGAATTTTTTTTAATAAAAATTGTTCCACTGAAGACCAGTGGTCAACAAGATTAAAAATCGCAACTGGCCTTTCCTGTTGTCCAGCCTTTCTGCATTCTCCCAGCATACCCCTTGCCACCACTGCGCCTGCATACTTGCCACTCCTGACTCCTGACTGTGACACTTGGTTGTTCTCTCTGCCTGGAACGAGCACCCCTCCACATTCGCCTTGGCCTCTGGTACTTTCGTCAAGTCCTCGATTCTGGAGTTAGCCAGTGCTTAGCCTTTTCCACCAGATGTTTTTATTTCTTCCCCTCTGCTTCCTTGTGCAGATCTTAGCTAAACAGTTATCACATTGCATTGTAATTACGTGCGTGTCTATCTTTTTCTAAGTCTTTGTAAGGTTCCTGGGCATATCATATCTTTTCTTATGCCCAGAACATGGCTCACGGTAGACACCTGATAAAATGGCAGGGCACTGCAGATGGTTTGAGATAATTACTACATGTGTTGTACGTACTGCTTTTGATGCCCTCCAAATCTTGCTTCTTTAGGGCTCGATCCATATACGAACGTGCCTTAGATGTGGACTATCGAAATATTACACTCTGGCTGAAATATGCAGAAATGGAAATGAAGAATCGCCAGGTCAACCATGCCCGAAACATCTGGGACAGGGCCATAACAACCCTGCCTCGAGTCAACCAGTTCTGGTAAGTTTCTGATCTAACGAAATGGCTTTTTGTAGACTAGAAAAGTTCCACATTCGTGTTATTTATTTTATTTACAGAATTGTAATCCTATGTATTTAATTTTACATCCTACTTTTTCTTTAAACCTACTAAAGTTCTTTTTAATGTTTTATAGTCTGTTAGGTCATAATTACAATGTATAATAGCTGTAATCAAAACTAAAATTTTGATTGCAATCTTTTCTGCATAAGAAACTTCTTGTTGGGGCTGGCCCGGTGGCGCAAGCAGTTAAGTGCGCGCACTCTGCTGTGGCAGCCCGGGGTTCGCCGGTTCGGATCCTGGGCGTGCACTGACACACCGCTTGGCAAGCCATGCTGTGGTGGTGTGCCATATAAAGTGCAGGAAGATAGGCATGGATGTTAGCCCAGGGCCAGTCTTCCTCAGCAAAAAAAAGAGGAGGATTGGCTGATCTTCCTCAAAAAAAAAAAAAAAAGAAGACACTTCTTTGTTAAACTAAAAGCAATTTTTAAGAAAAAATATTTTTTTTCCAATTCATCCTTTTCAGATTTACATTTTAATAAGAATACATGTTCAATTTAACCTTTAGGGAAGATAAAGTCTTAAATATTCTTTACTTTTAACAAAGTAGAACTAGAAATTGCCAAAGAACATTTTCTCCCTAAGTCATTTTGACCGTGACAGATATTTTTGGACGATTTTGTTAAAGGTACAAGTACACATACATGGAGGAGATGTTGGGAAACATTGCTGGCGCCCGGCAGGTCTTTGAGCGCTGGATGGAGTGGCAGCCTGAGGAGCAGGCCTGGCACTCCTACATCAACTTTGAGCTGCGATACAAAGAGGTGGATCGGGCCCGCACCATTTATGAACGATATATCCTTTGGCGAGGTCTGAGTGGTGCCATTATTGTCCTGGGTGCTGCTCCTCCCATGGAGGTGTAGTCATGGTCAGGACACACAGTCATTAATGTTGGCCTGTAAGTCAAAGATGCAAGTTTCATCTGCTTCATAAGCTACATATGTATTTCTAGAGATGTAGGTTGGTCAGAATAAAAGTTTATGATCTGGGTAACTGAGTCTTTTCAGTGAGACTGGATTTGTTTATATTTTGGGACTAATGCTGTGGTTCCTTGTGGAAAATGACATGCTAAGGCTCTGGCTGCTGTAGCCAGTCCTGTTTTTGTAGGGTTTAAGTGGGTCATTAGCACCATTACTGGAGTCCATTCAAAGGTTTACTGTTTACTAGCCATGTGATCCCAACAAGTCAGTTAACTCCTCTGAGCCTTGGTGTTCTCATCTGTAAAATGAGAATAAAAATTCCTACTGTGGGCTGATTGTGAAGATTAGATGATAACACATGAAGGCATTCTTAGCAACTAAAGTAGTCAGTCCTCACTATTCACTGTTTCCATATTTGTGAATTCTCCTGCTCGCTAAAATCTGTTTGTAACCCCAAAATCAATATCTGTGGCTCTTTCATAGTCATTTGCAGACAAGCATAGAGTGATGAAAAATTTGAGTCACCTGAGGCACATGTCCCAGGTGAAGACAAACAAGGTGACCATCTGCTTTCTTGTCCCTGCTGTCATACAGAGATGACCAGAGGATAGAGACGGAATGGCGCAGTGCAGTGTAGTCACTCTGGGGCCAGTTGGATGGATGTGAATCCTTTCTCTGACACCAGTTAGTGAGTGGCCTCAGGCAAGTCACTTAACACTTCTGAAGCTTGCTTTCTCTTTTACAAAATAAAGAAAATAGAATCTAAGGATTAGTTTTTTTTTAGGATTTGAGATTTTAATCTATATGAGATGTGTATATATACTCTTTCCCCCAGGAGCAGTGGTTTGGTATTCGCTAATTAAGTGCTCACAGTGACTTCACAGAACATAACTACCACCAATAATGAGAATCAACTTTATTATGCAATTTTAAGATCTTAATTACCTCTATTCATTTTAATATTATTAGTTTAACAAAAGCTTTTCTAGCACTTGCTATATGTCAGGCATTGTAAGCACTTTAAAAATATTTTCATTTAATCTTCATGACAACCCTGTGATGCAGGAACTACTCCTTCTACAGACGAGGAGACTGAAGCAGGAGAGATTAGGCAGCTTGACCAGGGTCTCTCAGATAGTGATGGAGATGGGATTTGAAGCCAGTAGCAGCTTCAAAGCCAATGCTCTTAACATCGCTGTCATATTTGAATGTATTAGTACTTTAGAAATTAATGATTTCCTCAAAGAAAGTAGATTAGAAATAGATATATCGTATTAAGAAATAACATGGTAATTCAGAACGTGCTCTTTTGGCTCTAGTTAACAGTTTTTTGTGACTTGTTTTTTTCTTAATCGTTAATTCAAATATTAATGTTATTGAACATGTAATGTAATAGGGGCCATGTATTGAGCACATTCTTTTGGCCAGAAACTGCTAAGAGCTTTACATACATTTTCTCATTTAAAGGTGGCAGTCATCTGCCAGTGAGGTTGGTATTATTTTTCTCTGTTTACACATGATAAAACTGAGGCTTAGACAAGTTAAGTGACTTGTCCAAATCACATGGCTGGTAACCAGGCTTCAGCTTTTTTTTTTAAATCTGCATGCATATGTATAGCACTTTATTTATAAAATCAAAAAACTGGGAACAACATATATGTCCAACAATAAGGGAATGGCTAAATAAATTAGGGTACTTCCATGTGATACTTACCCACAGTCATTAAAAATAACAATGCAGAAGAATAGTCAATGGCGAGGAAGATTTTCACAATACGTTTTTTTTAAAAGCAGTCTCCCCAAATCATTGGGCAGAACGTGATCCCGTTTTTGTTACGTATATAATGCATGCACAGAAAATGGACTACAAGGGAATAACCAAATGTTAATAGTAGAGGTAAGATAACAGGTGACTTTTATTTTTTCCGATGTGCTATTTCATACTTACCAGTTTTCAACAGTGAACAGGTATTGTTACTTCGAGCACTGAGAGCTTGGCACTAGTGTTGATCTCTCCCAGACTGTTGGTGGCCGTGCACTTAAAGATGGCTTCATCCCACTGCACCTGCAACGGTTGGATCTGCAGCATGGACCCTGCCCTGTTGTCAAACACAATTACCTCCAAGCGCTGGAAAGTGACTTTCTTCCCCTTCTTTATCCATGTGATGCACAGCTTGGGCTCCCCTGTGGCTTGGCACACGAAGGAGGCCACCCCTCCTGACAGCCCAGTGTAGTCCTCAGGGACCTTAATGAAGACAGGTTTGCTGTCCCCATGGGCGCCTGCCACCAAACCTAGCATTGCGAGTGTGGGCACACGGGGCACCATTGTCCTCCCTGGGGCTGCACTTAAAGCCCCAGGTCCTCAGGGGCCATCCAGGGCTCCAGCACCACAGCCAGCCACAGCCCAGGACAATCAACCAGGTCTTTGCTTGCTCATGCCAATCACTCTTGGACAACCAGCACTGAGAGCAGGGCATCAGAGCCTCTGCTCCTTCCACCTATCCAGGGGCCGTCGGTCCACATGTCCCCCCCAAGCCACTGGGGCCACTGTTCCCGCTACTCTTCTGCCGCCACCACTGCCACTGCCACCGCCACCCAAGCTGGAGCCCGTGCCTAAGCCAGAGCTGGAGCCATCATCTCTGCCGCTGCCCCCGCCCCTCCTGTGCCAGCTCCAGCCGTGCACCGGGTTCAGCTTTTTCATGGCTCCTATTTGTACCACTACTAAAATATTGAATAAGCACTGGAGGAAGACATGGCCCCTCACGGGGTCACAGTTGAGTGGTTCTCTGCCTTCATACGTGTTTTATCACCCCTGTCGTTGTAACTGGCATTGTCGGGGGTTTGGGTTTGGGTTTGATTTTTTTTTTAAGCTATGTGTCTTGCCTGGTATTTCCTTAATTCCCCTGCACTTGTTCTCGTGCACCCCGATGTGAAGAACTGGATCAAGTATGCCCGCTTTGAAGAAAAGCATGGTTATTTTGCCCATGCACGAAAAGTGTATGAGAGAGCTGTCGAATTCTTTGGAGACGAACATATGGATGAACACCTTTATGTTGCCTTTGCCAAATTTGAAGAAAATCAGAAAGAAGTAAGTAAACTTAACTCAATTATGTTGCAAAACAGCTTAGAAAAGATTACTTCTTGTGCACATTGAGTTCATTTCCATTTTCTTATTTACTTTTATCCTTGGAGTTCAAAATACAAAAAACGTGACTTGATTTCTTAAAACAGCATACATTTGTGGCTAAGCTGCATATTGGGAGCTGAGTGTTTATAGATTGTATTATGACTTAATTTTGTTGTGCTTTGCTTGAAAATTAAGCCTTTAAATGTAGAGTGAGAATATTGTCTATAAACTGAGAGTTGGTCATTTAGTTTCCTGATTAAAGGACTTTACAGGTAATAAATCTGGGAAATACAAAGCCCAGAGCCCTCAGAACAGAGAACAGAATTTGAAATGAAAACAGAAATTGTCCCACAAATAAGTCAGTTCTTTTCTTCCACAGTATGTATGGAAAATAATCCCTTAAAGTAGCTCAAATAATGCAGACTTTAGAGAGGTAGGCTGAGATCTGAATGCAAGGTCTTGCACAGGTCACAGTAGGGAGTTCAGATTCTAGTCTAAGGCCAGTGGCAAGTTTTAAGCAGAAGAGTGGTAGGATATAATTTATACTGTAAGGAGAGCCTCTAGCTAATTCATGGAGATTGTATTGGGGGGAGGGTGGCAAAGGTGGAAGTGAGGAGACTTCTGAAATGGTCCAGGGAGGAAATGGAGATAGGTGGGCAGGGGGGCTTGGGAGAAGTGAATGGCTGTGTCAAAGAAGTGGAAATGGCAGGGCTTGCTGAAGCAGTGAATGTAGGGGATGGGGAGAGGAGAGGAATCAAGGATGACTCCCGGAGTTTTTGGCTGAGCAAGCATGTGACGGTAGGTGTTGCTTACCAAGATGAGGAAGACTGGGAAAGACTCAGGTCTGGTGGGCAGAAAGAGGAGCTCAGTTTGAGACCTTTCCTTCTGAGATGTGCAGATGACATCTGATGGGCAGTGTTAGGTAGACAGTATTAAATGTGGAGCTCAGAGTGTCAGTCTAGCCTGAATGAAATACCTCAACAAAAGGGAGAAGAAAAATCTTATTTTCAACATTTTGAGGCCTCAAAATCTGACAAGTAATGCTTTATGTCATCATTACTTTGCTAGTTGTGACTAGAATGAGAATGTTGTGTATGGCAGATAACCAACCTGTCCCCTTTTAGTTTGAAAGGGTACGAGTGATCTACAAGTATGCCCTGGACAGAATTTCAAAACAAGAAGCCCAAGAACTCTTTAAAAATTATACCATCTTTGAGAAGAAGTTTGGTGATAGGCGGGGCATTGAAGACATCATCGTGAGCAAACGGAGATTCCAGTATGAAGAGGAAGTGAAGGTGATTGCTGGTGTAGATGCTTAACTCTGCAAGTAACTAAGATGTGCCAACCAATACTAGCTATAATAAAATGAATAATAGCAAGTTAGGGCTACCAGTGATTATGTTCTTGATATGTTTCTGCAGTAAATTGGCAGCTATTCCAGACAGGTAGGAGTAAAGAGGCTGATAGAAAAGGCAGACAACACTTGGATTTGCTCTGCCACTCACGTGTGGAAAGTCACTTTGATTGCTAAGTGTGTGCTGTAGAATTTGAGCAAAAGAAACCTGGAATCCATTTGAGCTCATTTTTGAAAGATGATGGAAGCATCAGAGATTGATCCAGAAAAACAGTTTTTATATATTACCTTTTAGCTTAACTACTTGAACAAAAGATGTATCGTAGGTATGATCCCAGTCTCATCTCTATATCTGTAATGTACTATTTTGAGTTGAATTCAAAGATAGTCGCATTTTCAAGGTATCTCCAAACAAAAGACTAAGTGTGGTGTTAAGGCCAGTAAGATAAATTACTGTTAATTGAAAAGGCAGATTTCACAGTTGTGAGCATGGTAAAATTCCATTGTAATTTTAAATCCATACATAATGATATGTAGTCACATATATAAACTACTACATTTATAAAAATAGGCATCTAATTATTGCATAATTATCTTGGGAGTGGTGATGAAAGGGGTCTTCCTGTGGAACACTTAGCTAATAATCTGTCCTCTATATTCCTTATTCTTTTCTATTTATAAAATCTCAGGAATGGTATTTTTAAAATGAGATAGCATGTGAAATCTAGAAAAAAAGTTGCTAAAAAATAGAAAGTCAGTCCAGTGCCTTCTTTCAGCTCACATAGTCCAGCAAGTGTAGCTCTTGGTTTTGTTTTTAGTTATTAAACTTATTGTCTTTCTAGGCTAATCCACACAATTATGATGCATGGTTTGATTACCTGCGCTTGGTGGAAAGTGATGCAGAAGCAGAAACTGTGCGAGAAGTCTATGAAAGAGCCATTGCCAACGTCCCACCCATTCAGGAGAAGCGGCACTGGAAGCGCTACATCTATCTTTGGGTCAACTATGCACTCTATGAAGAACTGGAGGCAAAGGTGAAAAATGGAATTACGTGTCATCTGTTAACGGTTTCCTTAACCCTGTGCTTATAGCTCGGCTGTTGTAGGTAGTAACTACTTAACAATCCTTGAAACAGAGGAATTTAGTTTTAGATTCTTATAGGCCTCCATTTAGCCATACAGTTACATATTCTCTCCGCAACATTTTAAACTCTATACCTGTAGTGGGCACAGGTGAGTATTTTTTTGTTTTGTTGTATTTTGTTTTTTAAACCTTGAGGCACAACAAGATTATCACTTGGAACTTGAAAAGGAACAATGAACCAGCCCTTTGTTTAACTACATATAGTTTCCTGGGTTTTCTTATAAATAGAGATCACAGCTAGTTGTGCATTTTTGCTTTTGGTAAAGATCAAGTGGCATTTTCAGAAATTGGTCATGTATAAGTTAACAAGAAAAGATTAACTTTCTGCTGTTGATCTGAGACCATAAAACTTCTTTATTACCTTCTGCTATCAGGCAAAAAAGCCTTTCTACACAGAAGCTCTTAGTTTGATGGCAATATTGTTGGTGATTCTTAAACCAAAATTTGATGGCCAAAGGTAGTCACACTTTTGATCATAAATGGAATCAGGATTTGAAAATAGCAACTTGTGAAAACATATTCAATGTTGGGGGTGTACATTTTTAGTAGTATTAGTAACAATTAGTATTAGCCACAGACTTCAATATTTTGCAAAAATTTCTTATCCTAATACAGGATCCTGAGAGGACAAGACAGGTGTATCAAGCCTCTTTGGAACTAATTCCTCATAAAAAGGTACATTTGCTCTAAGTGTTCTGTTCCAAACATGTCAAAATCCTGCTTCTGTTACTTGTGAAATAATTCAGTGAAATAAATATATATATATTTTTAATTATTTTATTGAGGTCATATTGGCTTATAACATTGTGTAAATTTCAGGTATACATTATTATATATCAGTTTCTGTATAGACTGCATCATGTTCACCACCAGTAGTCTCGTTTTTATCTGTCACCATACATATATGCCCCTTTACCCCTTTCGCCCTCCCCCCACCCTTTTCCCCTCTGGTAACCACTAATCTGTTCTCTTGATCCATGTGTTTGTTTATCTTCCACATACGAGTGGCATGATATGGTGTTTATCTTTCTTCTGTCTGGCCTGTTGCGCTTAGCATAATACGCTCAGGGTCCATCCATGTTGTCACAAATGACACAGTTTTGTCTTTTTTTATGGCTGAGTAGTATTCCATTGTATATATATACCACATCTTCTTTATCCATTCATCCGTAGAAGGGCACCTGGGTTGCTTCCACATCTTGGCTATTGTGAATAATGCTGCAGTGAACATAGGGGTGCATGGATCTCTTTGAATTGTTGATTTCATGTTCTTTGGATAAATACCCTGTAGTGGGATAGCTGGATCATATGGTATTCCTATTTTTAATTTTTTGAGAAATCTCAATACTGTTTTCCATAGTGGCTATACCAGTTTGCATTCCCACCAGCAGTGTATGAGGGGTCCCTTTTCTCCACATCCTCTCCAACATTTGTTATTTTTTGTCTTGTTAATTATAGCCATTCTGTCAGGTGTAAGGCGATATATCTCATTGTAGTTTTGATTTGTGCTGGCCACTGTGTGAGGATCCGTGTCCTGGATCACTGCAGCCGGGGAGAGGGAAGGGGCCACTCCCCTAGTTCTACTGCTTCCCCGGGGGTCCAGCCTATCCAACTTCAGATGTATAGCTGCATAGATCTCTTAGGCGTCCTGTTGTGCTGTGTAGGGAATCCTCTGTTGGTTAATGTATGTCCGTTTAGTTGTAACTTAGAGGGGAGAGACAAAGGGAACTACTCACTTCTGCCATGATGCTGACATCACTTTCAGTATTTGTTGATTAAATATTGCCCTGTGCTAGGCACCATGGAAAACATAAATAAGAAAAAGATATGCTCTTTGCCTCTGAAGACAGCTTACAGTCTAATTGAGAGGACAACCTGTGTTAAGTGACAAATGAATAATACAGATACTAATGTAGAAATTCAGAGGAGGATGAGTAATTGGAATAGACTGAGTACAAGGAGGAAGACGCACATCCAGAGAGCACACGGCATGTACAGGAAACAACGGCAGGTGTTTGTGGGCAACTGAGTGGATGTATGCATGCGTGAGTGAACACGTGTCTGTTCTGGAAATGGTTGAGACGTTCTCTCTGCCGTATTGCCCAGCAGAGAAACAAACAGAGATGTTGACCAAGTTAGCTTCTAGAATAGAGGTGGCAGGTTCTGCCCACTTACAAGCATACCCACAGAACAAAGCTGATTCTAAGTAGGGGCTGCAGAGCCATGCAATACATGGTATCTAGATTACTACTGTAACTTTGATGAAATAAATACTGTCATCTTTGCATATAAACAAGAAAATACATCTGTCCTAGCTCTGAAGTTTTAGGGAAATCTGATTACCAGTGGCCTTTTGTTAATTTAAATTAAATTAAATTTAAATTTAAATTTAAATTTAATTTAATTTAAATGAGTCTCTTAATCTAGATGTTTTTGTGCTTTTGTTTTCTAGTTCACATTTGCCAAAATGTGGTTACTATATGCACAATTTGAAATAAGACAGAAAAATTTACCATTTGCCAGAAGAGCTTTGGTAAGTAAAGAAAGGATCAAAATGCATCATGAAGTTCTATAAGAAGGAAACTAAAATCTTAGTGCTTACAAGTTGTACAATTCCTACTAAGAAAGCAACAGAATATATTATGCCTTTATAACCTGAGACATGTTAGAAAACACATGGCCTTTGAAGAAAGATTGGATGATAATGCTTAAATTATTCTGTTTCAACATGGGAAACTTTATCTATAGCTACCAGTTAGCAGATCTTTCCTCGGACTAGAAAGATCTGATCTTAGATCAGATTAGATCTTAGATCTTTAGTGGTCTGATCCTGTGCAAAGTTTTTGCACACCTCCCTCCTAACAGCTGTTCTAAAATTTCTTAATAGGATGAAATACTGTATTTAAGTGCATTTGTCCTTTTGATAAGCTACTCTTGCCCTGGCTATGGGCAGCAAGGCAGGGTTTATTTTTTCATTACCTTTTTACTCACAGGAGATTTTATACATCTGACATCCATATTCCCTAGGAGATCCTGAGAAATTAAAAATCCAAAATAGTTATCCAAACAATTCTGCAACACAGGCGCCAGTGGGCACAGGCCCTCTCAACTGCTGAGTGAATTAGAGGGTTTCCTCTGGCCTTCTGTCAGGAGCCATCATGAACAGTCTGATACCACAGAGGGAAAGAGCGGCTTGCCATGTTGACTCTCCAGGGTTCTTGCTCAGCAGAGAACAGCATCTACAGGTCGATGATGCACAAGTTGAACCCACTAAGGCATCACAGGAGTTGGTCATTTTCTTTTCCAGGGAACTTCCATAGGGAAATGTCCAAAGAACAAGTTATTTAAAGGTTACATAGAATTGGAGCTACAGCTTCGAGAATTTGACAGATGCCGGAAGCTTTATGAAAAGTTCCTGGAATTTGGACCTGAAAATTGTACCTCTTGGATTAAATTTGCAGAATTAGAGACAATCCTTGGTGATATTGACAGAGCCCGCGCAATCTATGAGTTAGCCATCAGTCAGCCACGCTTAGACATGCCGGAGGTGAGGATCTCAAATTCAATATAATTTTGTTTTAGACACTTCTCTACTATGACTTTAGTTGACCATCGAAATGTGTGTGCATTTTAGAGCATAGAGATGATGTAACTAACCCACAATCTTTTCTACTCAGATTAGGTCTTTTCTGTTTTGGAGATAGAAAGGCAGGGGCAGCAGCCCTCTAGTTGGATACCAGAGCACAGCAAAGCCCCACTATGACACCTAGAATGAATTGGGATATAATGGGTGGGTGACTGGCTCTCTTCCTCTGCTTCTCAAACAGAAGGCAAAAGGGGATGGGTTAGGGAAAGCCAGTCAGGGAAACAGGTAGCAGGCAACCACATCTGGAGAACAAGGGAGACGGAGGTTGAGACTGCACATCCCTGGATTCTCCTGGCACAGTTTTGCCCAGATTGGGCCAGCAAAAGAGGCACTGACTAAACCAGGATGTTCCTGGAATCATTACTACCACTGTCCTGGAAGTCCTGGCCTGCCACAGGACCCAAAATCATCCTTTCAGTATTTAAGCTTGAGCCACAAGGTGGCACCAAACCACAGCTAGGGCCAATTTGAATCTCACAGGAACCACTGAACTCACTCAGCCATTTTGTTAATCTTGCACCAATATGACCCTGCCTTTATTGGTTCACCAGGCTGCACTGATTGCATTAGGGCAAGGCTTTATGTATTGCTGGTTCCATCAGTTGGTCTTAGCTCCTCCACGGATTGCCAGCTCCCAGGCATCTGGGCCACATCTTACTCATTCTTGTGGCCTGACAGGCTGTATCTAGCAGGTGGGCAGCTGTTCACTGCATGCCTGTTGAGTTGAACTCAAACATATCAACGAATTTACAGTGGAGGTTAAAACAGTATATACTGGCTATCTAAGGCCTATTTCTCCACAAGTTCAATTGTATGTGGCAGGATCACAACAGTGCCTGGGAGACTTGGCAAGTTTCTCAGCTCTTCTTGGTTAAGTCCAGCATTTGAAAAACTCCAAGAGAGAATCCAAAAGTAAACCCAAGATCTTTTTTCTCATAATCTAGAATTCTAGCCAAGTTTTGGCCAGCTTATAATTGCCAGTATTATTTTATCCACGTCATCTGCATGTGGATAGGTTCCTGGATGTCCTAGGTTGGAGTGGTAGTTAAGCTGTGCTTTGAATAGGGGCCTGTTGCTTTTTAAATGTCTAGACTGACCTGTTATCTTTCTTAGGTGCTTTGGAAATCATATATTGATTTTGAAATTGAGCAGGAAGAAACTGAAAGAACACGAAATCTTTACCGACGATTGCTTCAACGGACACAACATGTCAAGGTATCCTGTGCCTTATAGATTATCTTTGATTTTCCTTGAATCAGAATTTCTGAAGACACATCATATTTCTATATTTTAAGTGTTTTTTGAATATATTTATTTTAAATGACTTCCTTGCTTTTAAAGAGAACCTGTGAGTCTCACAGGACTTTGGAATATTAAGCTTATACCAGGTCAATATTTATACTGCATGTGAATAACTCTGATATCACAGAATTGAATAAAAAGTTAAACTCTTTTTCAGGATTTTAAGACTATTTCAGACACCTAATTGGATATAGAAACGGACTGCTTCAAGTTTCCTATATTGAAGCATATAGTCAATATGTTATATTCCTTGGAATACCAGATATGAACACATTAGTATATTCAGATGTCATTAACAAGAAACTAGCTTTATTATTATTACATTATTGTCTTCTGAGTAACATGGTTAATTTGGTTCTACAATAATTTTCTTTTAAGGTATGGATCAGTTTTGCTCAGTTTGAGTTGTCTTCAGGGAAAGAAGGAAGTTTGGCGAAATGCAGACAAATTTATGAAGAGGCTAACAAAACCATGCGAAACTGTGAAGAAAAGGAAGAGAGACTTATGCTGCTAGAATCTTGGAGAAGCTTTGAAGATGAATTTGGAACAGTATCAGATAAGGAGAGAGTGGACAAACTCATGCCAGAGAAAGTCAAGAAGAGAAGAAAGGTCCAGGCTGATGATGGGGTAAGAACTGAGCCCCTAGAGCTGGTCATCTCATGTCAAATGAGCAGAAATGCATCCATCTTTGAAATTTGTACTTTTAAGTGGCATATGTACAATCTGAGAATGGAGCAGACAGCCTGGAGTAGGAGTAAGTAGCCTGCCATCTGGCTACTGTGGAAACACAGAGCAAGGTGTATAGTCCACCCAGGGGTGGAGAATGGGAGAGGGTTGGCAAAGGCTTCTTGGTGGTAGCTGATTGCAGGAACTACATGAAGTTTGATATTTCTGGAACATTAAACAGGAAGTCAGGATGGAGGAAAATGAAACTCAGTTTGTTGGTAGGAGCCAATCCAGAGGCTTTGTAGGCTATAGGAAGGTTCTTAGCCACAAAATGACATGACCCAGTCATTGGCGTCTCCTGCAGGTGGACTTGAGGGGCTTAGATTGGAGGAGGCCCTGTCGGGAGGCTGTGGTAAGCAAAGCAAGTGGTGGTGGAAGCTGGAACTAGAGTGATCTTTAGGAAGTGAAATCAGTGACTGACTGGAGGTGGAAATGTGAGGGCAGGGAGTCAGAATGATAATGCACAAGATTTATGGCTTTCGCTACTGGCTAAATATTAAGTAAATCTTTAAAAATTTAAAATCTTAAACTGCAAGGTGGAGTTGGAGACACTGAGTATCTTCTTTGTTGACTATAGAGGAGCTGTGCTTAGATTTTTAGAATTTTTTTCCACCAGATTTTTAGGCTCTCAGTGAGCTACACCTGCAGCAACAACAATCTAACAGCTACTTATTCACTCCCAATCTTCAGGGCCCAGCCCTTGTTTTTTCTGTAGTAGACTTTGATATTGTTTTGTGAGATGAAGATAAGTTGAATTTGAACTCTGGGTTTCCCAGTGAAAATTCTCCACTTTAAAGTAACTGTAATGTGCATATTTCAGCCATGTGTTAAGTTCTCTCTTAATTGTTTTACTTTTTTCCTGTAGTCTGATGCAGGCTGGGAAGAATACTATGATTACATCTTTCCGGAAGATGCTGCCAACCAACCCAACCTCAAGCTCCTGGCCATGGCCAAACTTTGGAAGAAACAGCAACAGGAAAAAGAGGCTGCTGAGCAAGACCCAGATAAGGACATCGACGAGAGTGAATCTTGATCTTCTTGTTCACATTGATAAATGTTTTTATTATTTTTATAAATTAATAGTTTGGAACTCTTGTGACTCCTGTAAGTTTTTATATATTTCACCAGTAATGAATTGATTGGAATCTTTTTGAATTATTTTTAAAATGCTCTTGCGTTAGTTAAGGATGGGGGATTGCAAGTAAAGGAATTTTTTTAACTGCTGGATTTCTTTATCTGAGTCCAAACATTTTTTTGTCCACATCATGAATTAGGAAACCTAATTAAGGTAATGCTTAACGTCTATTTTAGATGGAACTGCAGACTTTTGAAAGTCTTTCTAGAAGTTTTGAAGTTACATTCTACAGTAACTTTTAAGGTGTAGTTTTCTCATGCCTGTCGTCTTCATATTTTATGCATTCATCTGAAACCTGTAACTTTTTCATGTCTTCAGTGACTTGAGTTCTGTTCCCAGCTGTGCCACTTAGTGATATAGAACTTATTAACCTTTATTTTCAGTTTCGTCACTCATTAAATGAGCTAATACTTTGCCAACTCATTTTGAAGATTAGAAAAGGAATATACCTGGTGCATAGTAAGCACTCAATAAAATGTTCATTCCCAGCCACTTTCTTCAATACGTTCATTCCTTATAGAATCGAATGTGATTGGATTAATATACTTCTTATAAATAACCTTACTTTCTTACTAGTGGCCATTTGTACTGTTTTTCAAAACATTAGTTAGAAAATAATTTACAGTTACTGTATTTCTGAACAAGGTCTTTTTTATCAATTTTTTTTTTTTTTTTTTTTTTTTTTTTTTTTTTTTTTTTGGTGAGGAGATCAGCCCTGTGCCAACATCTGCCAATCCTCCTCTTGTTTTTGCTGAGGAAGACTGGCCCTGGGCTAACATCCGTGCCCATCTTCCTCCACTTTATATGGGACGCCGCCATAGCATGGCTTGAGTGCGTTGGAGCGCGCCCGGGATCCGAACTGGTGAACCCCGGGCCGCCACAGCGGAGCACGCGCACTTAACCGCTTGCGCCACCAGGCCAGCCGCAATCAAGAACATTTTAGCCAAATTTCAGTTATGCTCTAGTCAGTTTCCCAAACTGGTTGAGTTCTATAGTGGCTTGTTTAAAGAACAGTAATGTGTGTGCTGTGAAAAATGATGTCCTGTGCACAAATAAGTTTGGGAAACCCTAGATTAAGGGTTAAGCCTTGTCAATCATATCTCTTTATAGGCTTCCCAGAGCCTTTGATATGCTACTATACATTGTGAATTCCCAGTAACGACGCTGGCATTTTCCCAAACGTACTGGACAAGGGAATCATTTCTACCTAGAGTACCAACAAATATCTTCCAGTGTGGTACAGCAGAAAAGGACTGCCCGTAACACTGGACACGTTAAACTTACCCTTGGTTAGAACATGTGAGAAACACCTAACTTAACTATATGCTAAATAATGAAACTTTAAATAGCACAAGTATGATAACTGCACAAATATTTGCTGATACATTGCTCACGTTCTCAAGCAAAAAATATTTTCCTTAACAGATCTGAGCGATTGTTTCCTTTAACCTGGCCTGTATTTCTCAGGCCTGTCTTTTCTTGCTTTATTCACTGGCCAAGCTATTTGACTAAAACAGTATATCATGAAGATTGTTTTTCACCCACAAGGATTATTAGCAAATTTATTATTTGCAAATTTAATTGGGCAAACTTATTATAAAATTTGCAAATGTCTTGTTCACCCAAGGGAATAACAGCTAGTCAACATGTTACTAAACCATATCTTGAAAATAAGATACAGTGTTTGAGAGCAGAATAAAATAGGACTAATAGGATAAAAGGCAAACCTGTTTTCAGTGTCACTGCTTTAGTCACTGGTCCAGTGTCAACAACTGCTGGGCTATCAGACAGATAGGTTCTGACTGTTGAGTACTGAGGTCTGGCTAGTCAGGAGGAACATTTGTGAATTTAATATCCTTTGGCCAAGTGTGCAGAATTGAAGGGTGAGATGAAAACAGGTCAGAATGCTAATATAAGTGACTAATCATAGCGTCTTCCTAGAATTCTGTTTATGTTGCATGTACGCATGAGAAAAAAACTTAGTGATCACATTCCCAACGTAAACTAGTAACACTTTCTGGCAAATGCCAGTGTGAAATGCATGAAGTTATTCTCTCATGGGAGAACATAAAGTATTCATTTTTCTCTCACTCTCAACTCCAGCCAAATAAGTCCTTTCCAGAGTAAAAGCTTTGTAATAATCATTTCCATGGGTTTTTCTTTAGCTATTTCTTTTATTCACTGAATGTTTTCAGATGTTACAGGTGATGAAAACTATATAATACGTGGCTGGCCTACAATACAGTTATACGGCCTTTAGGAATTAGGTTTCTTTCTCCCCTTTAAATAAACCTCAGCATCTTTTTATATTTTGAAAGGCAAGATTTAAGCAAAGTCTCGTATGTGAAACAAGACAAAGAAAAGATCTGGGACTCACAGTATGATAACAAGTAACTGTGAAGAATTTACTATGCAATAAGAAGGAAGCTTAAGCATGCTGGGCAGGGACTGTTTCAGGTATGCATTTAAAAGATGCTTTACAGGGGCCAGCCCAGTGGCATAGTGCTTAAGTTCGGCACACTCCGCTTCAGCAGTCCAGGGTTCGAGGGTTCAGATCCAAGGCACAGACCTATACCACTCATCAAGCCATGCTATGGTGGCGACCCACATACAAAATAGAGGAAGACTGGCACAGATGTTAGCTCAGGGTCAATCTTCCTCAAGCAAAAAAGAAGATTGGCAACATGTTAGCTCAGAGCTAGTCTTCCTCACACACAGACACGCTTTACATATAAATCAAATATTTAAGAGAAACAACATATCCTAAATGATGCTTTCTCAATCCTGATTTAGTTTTATAAATGACCAACAAACTTCCAGAAAACACTCATAGAGTCAACAGTGCATTTTATTATACATCTTAGATCTATACATTTCATATATGATTTTAAAGCTTCAATTAACAGTTCAATACAAAATAAAAAATGTATATGCATCAGTGGTTCTCAGGCACAAAATTGAGGAGACTGGAGTGAGTCTTTTCCCTAGCATATAGCTTTAGTAGGTATGATATTGCTAACTGGAAACAATGAGATTTAAAGTTTAGAACCTGCATTTTCTTGAAGTCTTTAAGACCTAAATGATTACTTTTCTCCTAATAGAGGTCCAAGATCATCCAATGAAAATAATATTGTCTATAAAATACCTGGAGCATCAGCCTAAGAACCACTGCCCATGGTTATTCAATGTCTTCGGGCCTTACAGGATGAGGTAATGGTATGATGGATTTCTTCTCAGTGTCCCTGGAAAGTGCTTTCCTCATATCTGTTAGGAAAGAAAGTTTAATGTAACTACCCAAATATCAAAACATTTTATATCAAATTTAAAGTGAATAGGTAAAGTTCCCATAAGAGGTTTTGTCCCCACTTTCACCAGAGTCTAAGAGAAATGTCTTCAGTAACTGAGACTCCCAATCACAAGGAGACCAGACGCTAACCAAACCCCAGCTGGGATTCAGCTCTTCATACAAACGTCCTTTTGACAGAATTTTAGTAAAATAACATGACTGTAACATAGTAAAATAATAACTGACAGTAATTAACCATTGGTTAGTTAATATAAGTTAACTACTGGTAGATTCATAAAAGCAGGTTAAAGGAGATTTAAATATTATAGCTCAAATTTAAAACATTAAGTCCAAAAAATATGACTCTTAAATTTATTAAAATAATTGAAAATTTCAGTCTGGAGAATGAATGTAAATGTTTTGGCTTCCTCTTGGGGACACTGCCACAGAAGGGAGCTTACCATAAGCATCCTCATCAGGCTCCCCGTTGCTGGCTGAATAGTACTCTATGACCGTCCTGTATACACTGTAGCCCAACTGCTTGTACATGTTGACTGCAACTTGGTTAGATACTCTTACAAAGAGATCAACAAAAAATCCACCCTTTCTTTAAAACAAAAAAAAAGGAAAAAGTTAGAATGTGAGAAACCCTAGAAAATGATACATTTTTTTTTCTTTGAAGAAGATTGGCCCTGCGCTAACATCTGCTGCCAATCTTTCTTTTTCTTTTTTCTCCTCAAAGCCCCAGTACATAGTTGTGTATCACAGTTGTAGAGTTGTAGCTCTTCTATGTGGGATGCCACCTCAGCATGGCTTGATGAGCAGTGAATAGATCCGCGCCCAGGATCCGAACTGAACCCCAGGCCACCAAAGCGGAACACATGAACTTAACTGCTACACCACTGGGCCCGCCCCAATAGATACATATTTTCAAAAACGCTTGTTTTTATTTGCTTTGAAGACTATTCATATAATGGTAGTAAAGAACCTTGTAACTGATTACATCATAAATCAATCTTTTAATTGCTGAGGATTTATGGCAATTATTTTGCGGTACAGAAAGACAACTTTCTGTTTGCATGCTAATATTTCAAAACCAATAGATGTTTTCTTAAAAGATAAAAGCATTCGATTTTTTTTCAATTCTGCTCCTTGGCTTAAAAAAATTGCCGTATATTTTACATTATAGTAATTGATATATTCATTTTACCAGTTAGTCATACAATATTTTCATCCATATGTACAAATTAAAGATTTTGAAGCAAGACCAGTGTGGCTATGGCCCAAGTACTGGTCACAGGATACTGGTCACAGCCCTGAAGCCCTCAGGTCCCTCTGGTCAGTGACAGCCCCTCCCTTACCCAGAAGTTTCCACATCTCAACTCTTGTGATCATTAGCTCCTTGCTTTTTGCTGTGGATTTACCACCTATTATAGTTTAGTTTCTCCTGTTTATGAACTTTATGTAAGTGGAATCATCCTGTATTTATTCTTTAGTGCTCTGTCTCTCTCAGTCAGTATTGTGCAAGTCAGCCTCGGTGTAGCTGGAGCTTGTTCATTTCACTTTGTTTAGCACTCCGCTGTATGGATATATTATAAGTTGTCCGCAGTCCTACAAACATTTCCAGTTTTTCCTACCACAAACTATGCTGCTATAAATATTTTTGTCGTGTGTCTCATGGTACAGTACTTAAAGTCGACAGCTAGGAGCGTCATCATCACTGGCTCATAGGGGTATGCACATCTTCAACTTTACTAAGTAATGCCTGTTTCCCAACCTGCTTGTACCACCTTATACTACCACAGAAGTAGGTAGGACTTCATTCCCACAGTACCAAGGCTTGATGCATCAGACATTTTTATTTTTGAAAATCTTATGGTATAATGGTATCTTAGGGTAATTTTAATTGGCATGTCAAATTACTAACAAGGCTGAATATAATTTTGTTGGCCATTTAGATTTCTCATTCTGTAGTCCTTATTGGTCTTTCACGTATTTTTTCTTTTTCTCCCCCAAGCTGTAGTTCTCTGTGTATTCTGGATATTAAACATTGTGTAAAGAATGTTGCAAATCTTTTTTCCAATTTTTGGCTTGGCTTGTCATTATCCTTATGTATCTTTTGATGAACAAAGTTACTTCACTTCAATGAAGTTAAATATATAAACCTTTCCTTTACAGTTAGCACTTTTTATGGCTTGTTTAAGAAGTTCTTTTCTACCCCGAGGTCATAGAGACACTCTCCTATATTATCTTCAAAGGTCTCTTTAGTCCTGCTTTCACATCTAGGTTCTTAATAAATGTGGAATTGTGTATGGTAAGGTAGTAATGTGGGAAAAACTTCTCCCATATGGATATACACTTGTGCCACCACCTTTACTGAAAAGTGGATCCTTTCACCACTGAACTGCAATTGCCTCCGCTGAGATGTCAAAATCCATGTCTTCCCAGGTCTGTTTCTCAAATTGTGTTTCACTGGTCTAGAGAACTGCTCCAGCACTAACACACAGTCAGTCTTACTATAGCTTGATATCTGGAGGGGCAATCCACCCATTTTGTTGTTCAAGAATGTCTTGTCTCTTTTTGGCTCTTTCCATTCCCCCTGTAAGTTTCAGAATCAACAAGTCCCACAAAAAATACTTGCGATTTTTACTGCAGTTACACTGGTTCTGTGGATCAATTACCAGTTTACTATATCAAGTCCTCTATGCCACAGAGGTAGTTTCTCTCTCCACTTGGATAGGTCATCTTTAACATCTCAATAAAATTTTATAAACTTCAGAGGTCTTGCACAACTTTTGTTAGATTATTCAGAAGGCCTTAATATATTCTGATGCCAATGCAATTGGCATCTTTTTCTAAATTTTACTGTTTGTACAGAAATGCAGCTGAATTTTATACTGACTTTATATCCAACAACTCTGCTTAACTTTTATTAATTCTAAGCATTTATTTGTAGATTCTTGTGGGTTTTCTATTTGTACAATCTTATATGTGCTAAATAACAGTTTTGTTTCTTCTCAAACCTCATATATTTTTCTGGCTTTACTGTGCTGTCTAGGATTTCCAGTAAATTACCAAAGAGGGGCTGACTGTAGGTATCCTTGTCTTGTCCTAGATTTCAAAGGGAAAGTATTCAATGTATCACCATTGATATTTACTACAGGTTTTTTGTAGATATTCTTTTTTCAGGTTAAGGAAGCTCTCCCCTTCTATTTGCTAGTTTGCTGATATCAAGAATGAATACTGGATTTTATCAAAGCATTTTCTGTATGTACTGAGATAATTGTTCTCTTTTAATCTATTAATATGGTAGAATATATTTACAGACTTCCTAATTTTAAAACAACCTTCCCCTGATATATCATCCTTTGTATGAATTGCTGGATCCATTTTGCTAAGATTTTTCTGGGAATTTCGCATCTATAATGAGTGAGATTTTCCTTTCTCATATTTCTTGTCAGGTTTTATCAAGGTTATCCTAGCCTTAAAAAATAAGCTGAAGAATGTTCCCTCTTTTTGTGTGAAAGTGAACTTATAGTCATTATTTCTTAAATAGTCAGTAAAATTAGCCAGAGAAGCCATAGCTTTTTTTGTGGAAAGATTTTTGGCTACTGACTGAATTCTTTAAGGTAAGGGTCAACTTGCAACCTATTTTTGTACTGCTCTCAAGCTAAGAATGGCTTTTTTACAATTTTAAAGGGTTTAAAAAAAAAAACAGAATATGCACTAGAGACCTTAGGTAGCCCGCAAAGCCTAAATATTTACTATCTGACCCAGAAAAAGTTTCTTGACCTCTGTTCTATACCCTTAATCAATTTTTGTTCTGATGGTTCTATCAATTAGAAAGATACATGTTCAAATCTCCCATTACGATGATGATTTGTCTGTTTCTTCTTATGGTTCTGTCAATTGTTGCATTTTTACTTTGAACCGATGTCACTGGGTACATAAAATTTTTAATTATTACATCTTCCTGATAAATTAAATCTTTTATCAATATGCAGTGACTCTCTTACTCTGGTAATTATTGAAATATAATGTGACTATTGTTAAATTAAGTATACCAACTGTCTTTTGGTTAGAATTTACATAACAAAAAATTTCTTTACTTTCAAAAATCTTGCTGTATCTTTAATCTTTTCACATATTTCCTGTAAACAGAAGACAGTTCTAACAGTATTTGTCCTTTTTTTAATTTTATTTTACTGTCATAAGAACACTTAACATGAGATCTTCCCTCTTAATAAATTTTAAATGTACAATATATTATTGTTGACTGTAGGTACAAGGTTGTACAGTAGACTCTAGAGCTTATTCATCTTGCTTAACTGAAACTTTATGCTCGCTAATTAGTAACTCCCCTTTCTCCCCCTCTCCCCAGCCCCTGGCCACCACCATTCCACTCTATGAATTTAACTATTTTAGATATCTCATATAAGTGGAATCATGCAGTATTTGTCTTTCTGTGACTGGCTTATTTCACTTAGCATAATGTCCTCAAGTCTTTGTCTTTTAACTAGAGTCATTACTCCATTTAACATTTATTTTTGTAATTACTGATAATATTTGGATTCATAGCCACCATCTTTTTGTTTTACCACTTTAATTTCCTTTCTCTTCTCTTCTTTTGAATTGATTTTTATCATTCCATTTTTTCTGTTTGAAAATTATATACTGTTTCTATTTGTAATGTATATTTTAAAATACATGTATGTATGTATGTGTATATATAGGTATACACACACACACACCCATACAAATAAAAGATCACTTAAATCTTAGCAACTAGTCTAAAGTAATGAAGGTTTAGAACTTGGAAGGGAAGGGAGCTTAGTGGTTTTCTTCTCCAAGAGATAATCTATCCTATAAATACATTAAATCATATGTGCAAGGTCATAGCTAATTTCCTAACTCCCCATCCACTATATAATAATGCCAAATACTTTTCAACAAGATATGCCATTAACAAACATATATAAACTATAATCTTGCTTTAAATTTTCTCCTCTTCCTTATTTAGTCTAGGGAGAATTTTTAAAATTCTTAAAGACTAGAGTTGACTTCTTTTTCAGCTAACAGTATTTCCTCTCTTTTCTGAATGAGCTCAAGTTCCCCTTGCCCCCACTTGGCTCAGAGCATTTTCAAGCTAAAGTTACTTCTTTATAACTTACCTTTATTAAATCCATTAATTAAGTGGAAAGGCTCAAGAGCCCTTCCCAGCTGCTATTCCTTTTCCTACAATACTTCTAGGCATTTAGAGTAGAGAAAAAAGTGGCAGGTTGACAACTACTTAAATTCATACACACATCTCTTATCTCTTCTAAAATGGGAGCTGGCAGGAGTCGTCTTCTCTGTTAATTACTATATTACTTTTATCTCACATGATGAAATATACAACTAGTCTTTTTAAAAAAAATGGCATATTTTGACAGTTCCCAAACTATGCACTGAGATGCCCCAAGGTGCCCCAAACTCACACAGGTGCTGTATGATATTTCAAATGTTTGGTGCCCCAAACTCAGAGGTGATGTAGGATATTTCAAATGTTTGGGGAAAACAAAGACAAACCTTACATTTCAGACACTGGCAAACTACTAGTTTGATGTAGTTCACAAATGGAACATTACATCACGCTACATTCCTTTTGATGACGTAATAGCTTTATGAAGCCAGGTTTCTGGCAGTTCCTATAATTTAAAAAACCCATTACCACATGAAAATCAATGTGAAACAGGAATGCAGGTGGTTGTATCGAATCTGTTTCCAAGGTTTGAGAAGTCATGCAATGCCCAACAGTTGCACACATCTCATTAGTACGTAACCAGTTACTTAACAATGAAATAAAAATATTTTTTCTTTCAATTTATTTTTTTCCAAAAAGCTCCTAGATTGTTAGGCCATAAATACTTATTAAGCAGTTAAGACATAACTGCTTAAGACTAAACTTTTCTTTTGGCATAGGGGCACTGTAAAAAAATTAGTGAGATGCCAAGGGCAAAAAGAGAGAATTTGGGAACATCTGCCATAGTGGCAAGAACACTAAAAGAAACCTTAAGGTCTTTGATTCCATCAAAACCCAGCTTATAAGCCTATTATGGCAGGTCACTCACTTTGAACCTCAATTTTCCTCACTGGTAAAATAGAGACAATAATACCACTCTGAATATGTGACAGAATTGTCGTGAGGACTACTGGAGGCCGAAAATGAAATTCCTGTAAACTGTAAAGTATGACAGATATTCAGACTGAAAGAAAGAAAATCTTATAAATGTTCAACAATCATCAAATGATCAAGGCTCATAAATTATTTGAAAAGCACAAATCTCACCTTTCTGAAATCTCCTCTAATAACTCCATAAGTTTAGCAGCCAAACCAAGGCGTCGAAATTCTGGGGCAACAGACAGAGCTGTGACGTGCCCGTGCCATTCTTCCCTAGCCACTGAGCCTTCTGCTTTACCCATAACTGCCAACAAAAGATTCATTCAATAATTAAACACATGGATTTACAAATATATAAAGAATTACTGTTTGGTACATTTTTATTACAAAGAAACTAATGTTTCTTTGTACTTGTAAAACTACTTAAAAAGTTTTAATTTTTAAGTAGTACTTAAAGTTATCTAGCTAATGGTTATTAGTGCTTTTATTTGAATTTCACTTGTAAATATAATGCTAAATCTGTTGTAGGATCAGAATTAGAAAGTTTAAAAAGAAAAGAATGATACACTAAAAACACAACTAATTCGGAACACAGAACCAGAATATGTACTTTTTAAAATATCTACATTTCACGTAGGTATCTGTGTATGTACACATAAATGAGACAATCTACAGCTCAAATTCTTGTTAGTAATGCTACTAATTCAATGAAGATGCTACAATCCTTGCATTATGGACCAAATAAAGCACGCAGAAATTTAACATAAATATAGAATGAAAGATCTAAGAAGACTGAGACCATGTCTGTCTGGTTCACTGTGGTATCCCCTGGGCCTAGCACAATGCCTAAAACATAGAAGGGATCAGTGAGTTGCCAAATGGTTGAAAAGGAAATAAAATTGTAGGCATCATCATTATAATTCCAATTCTGTAATCAGTCTAAAACAATCAGTTGAAACCTATATTAAAATCTTAACTACCTATCCAAAATAGTACTAGTAGTATTATACTTACTATAACCCATTAACTCTCCACCAGGTGCCTCTGCAACGATGAAATACTCTGGCCAGTGGGCAAGGTACTGTAAGTAAAAAGGAATCCCATACTAGAGTCTTGTTAAGGAGTGCGAAAAGCAATAAACAGTAAAAAGTTCTTCATGAAAGGGATATATTTTGATGAAAGTTTCCTTTAAAAACTATATTGTTACTTTATCCCCAGCTCCATATATGTATGATTCCTATATCCTATCATTACATAAAATATTTAGGTTAGCACTAATTTTTAACAAAATTGCCTAAACATATAATCTCAGATGTGAAGGAGACAGCGCCATCTAATCAATAGAGAACCAGGACTCCAGGTTTCCTCTATAACCTGTTTCCCTCCTGATCACACTGTATCTAAATCTCTGCACAGCTCTGTCATCACCTGAGAGTCTTATTTGTTCACTGTCTCCCCTTAGAATTTGAATGCCATGTGTGCTCTAGCCCTGGTGCAAGACTCATTTTCCCATAACTGCACTGGAAAATTAATGACTAATTCCTACTCTAGCTTCAGCTACGAGATTTTGAAAATAACTTTAAAATTTAAGTACTTCCAGAGGCAACTTAATTACCCACTTATTCCCCTCCACTGATTCAAATTCTCCATTTCTAGTAATGCAAACAAAGGCTGACTTAAAAGTAAATGCCTGAATAATCTGCTTATTACTTAACTCTTCAACCCTGGGTGTCCTTACTGACATGAACTCATTCCTATATTTCTTCTTAGTGTAAGCTTGATGATGCAGTTCTATGAGGAGACACCATCAGTCATACATTAAAAGAAAAAATTCCCGGAAAACCTGTTCAGTAGTAAATTCTTCAAATTCTCTTCTGAAGGACAGCCATATTTTGATTACTCTTCAAATATAACCCTTAACATGGCAGGACAGCCAGTCTTCCTCCCACCCAGCCACAGACACCATAACTGTGTCTCCTCCGGCTAATGGAGGAGCCCGACACACCAAATCATCTATCACTAAGACCTGGCAGGTTACTTTCAAACATGGCCTCACCTGGATTATGGGACTTTTACTGTAAATTTTAAGTGTAACTGGAAGCACACCATATAAGTTGATTTGTATCCTAATATTTTCCCTTATTATACAGTGAAAATTGTGTCATTCAAAATTCTATTTTTTTTTAACATGAAGAGGGCTTTAATCAGTCATAATTTTTAAAATACAAATGAAAACTTTGGGGATTTTTTGCTTTTTCCACTCACTTTGTTTCTGATATGCAGCCCTACTGTTGCCTATACCTATAGTTAATTTTTACTGCTGTATAGGATTCCACTGTGTGAACAGACAATTTAAACGCCCTGTCTCCTGACAATGGACATCTGGGTTATTTCCAGTTTCTCGAAAAACTGTTTTAAATCCGTCATGAATACAGCATAATTTATGTAACTATTTCCATATTGTTATGTGTGAATGTTATTCCAAATTTTTTATATAATAATTTTGCAATAAACATTTCTGTAATGACATAACTAAGGGGTTAACAAACATTTTCTGTAAAGGGCCAGACAGTAAATATTCTAGGCTTTATGGACCATATGTTCTCTGGTGCAACTACTTAAACTGTGAAAGCCATGGACAAAGACACAGGCAATATGAAAATTATTCAGCATGACTGTGTCCCAATATAACTTTATTTACAAAAACAGGCAGTGGACTCAGGTTTGCCAATCCCTGACATAACTGCCTCTATTATTTTCAGCTTCCAGGAAACGGAATTACTAAGTATTAACATTACCAAAATGCCTTCCAGAAAGACTGTAGCAGTTTATATTGTCACTAGTAATTCATGAGAATGCTCCTCTCACCTCACCCTCATCAGCACTGAGTTTTTATCTTTTTTTTTGCTGAGGAGGATTCACCCTGAGCTAACATCTGTGCCAATCCTCCTCTATTTTGTATGTGGGTCACCGCCAGAGCTTGGCTTGACAAGTGGTCTAGGTCTGCACCCGGGATCTGAACCCATGAACTCGGGCCACTGAAGCAGAGCACACAGAACTTGAACCACTGGGCCACGGGGCTGGCCCCTTATCATTTTTTTTAATCCTTGATAATTTGATAGCTAAAACATGGCATCTCATTCTGGTTTTAATTTACATGTCTTTTGACTAGTGAGACTGAACTCTTAATATGTTCATTAACCTCCTATATGCCCTCTTTTATTAAATTATTAGTTAATATTACCCTCCTATCCACCTGCAACGGCCATGGGACATAACCTAGAAATCCAACTTTGTGTTTTAAGCCACTGAGAATGTGGGGGTTGTCTGTTAGTGCAACATAACCCAGAATACCCTAACTTCACACATCTTTGCCCATTTTTCTATTGGGGGGCATGATAGATACTGCTAATTGTTACCCCAAATCCTTCCTCCCTTTAGTAACAAACCCCGATTTAAAGCTAGGCACATTCCCAGACATTCCTGTTATAACTAGGTAAGTGGGGCACGAGGCAGGTGCTGGTCAACGAGATACAGAAGGGCTGCATGTTATTTCCCAAAGGTACCCCTGAAAGGGATGGACACTCTCACCTCCCCCTCTGTTGCCAGTCAGGAACATGGCTGTGATGCCATTTGCTCTGACAGAAAGCAAATGGCATCTAGGACATCTAGGACAGGAAGGCTAAGGCCACCCTGGGAATGGCAGAGTGGTTCAAGTGCAGAGCCTGGTTGCTGATGACTTCATGGAACCACCACCTGCCCTGGACTGCTCGTCACCTCCAGGCTTCATTCACATCAGACAGAAATAACCCATTTTGCTGAAGTCACTGCTTTTTGTTTTATACAGCCATATTTACTACTGAGGGACAAAGTTGGCAGGGGAGGTGTATTGTTATAGATTTATATGAGGTCATTATATTAGCAGCTTGTCAGGCAGATTTAAGACAACTCTTGTTCCCAGCTGTTTTTTTTAAAATTGCTTTCAATGTTGCTTATGTTTCCTGACCTACAAGTTTTAAAGATTTTCAGCATTTGTCTATTTTTTTCCTTTTGTTTGTCCATTTTCCACACTCTCAGTAAGCCTTCATTTAACTTTTTTTAAAAAGGATACAGTTTCTGTAAGTGGATCCAAGTTACTGAAAGAAACAACAGAAATATCAATAGTAAGTGATGTTTACAAACCAGTTTAAATGAGCCCATTACAATTAAAAATGATATGCAGAAGGAAAACAAAATATGCTAAATCCACAATTTTAAAACCAACTTTAGGGCTAAGGAAGATGATTTAAACTACCTAATGGCCATAATGATCTGTCACAGCCACTATAAAGATACCTATACATTTTCACTTGACTGCTGCTTCTTTACAAATTACTTTATAGTTAATAAATCTACAACAAAATCTTTCATTCTCTAAATGGCAATAAATTGTTAATGGGACTGGGGACCAACCAGGCACGTAAATCTCACAGACAGAAGGTAAAACTAGCCCGCTGCAGTATCTGACAAGGGTCCTCCCAGCCTGTCTCTGGGCCCTCCCTGACAACTCCTTGCTCCTTTATTCCACTCTCTAAATGTGGGCTCTCTCACGACACAGGTTTTGCTCCCCACTCTTCTTCTTCTACAGTCCCACCTCCCCTTCCCCACCACTCCCAATCCTATACTTTCAATTCTGTAATTTTGGAGGAAGCCTCCCAGATGTGGCTCTGGTGCTGCTGAGCACCTGCCTCACCAGCATCTGAGGACAACACTCCCAAATCAGCATTTATTTCTTGAAATTCACCTCCACTTCCATCTACAAAGAGTTCTGCCCCTCACTTTCCTATTCAATTAACGGAACCAGTATTTTGCCAGGCTCAAAACCAGCTACAGCAGTTCCCCCTTATCTGCAGAGGATATGTTCCAAGACCCTCAGTGGATGCCTGAAAGCGTGGATGATACTGAACCCTATATATACTGTTTTTCCCTACACATACATACCTATGATAAAGTTTACTTTATAAATTAGGCGCAGTAAGAGATTAACAACAACTTCTCTTTGGCATATCTGAATTGCCAGGATCACTACTCTTGTGCTTTGGGGCCATTATTAAGTAAAACAAGCACTGTGATACCGCAACAGTCAATCTGATAACCAAGGTGGCTACTAAATGACAGGAGGGTGGTGTATACAGCATGGATACGCTGGACAAAGGGATGATTCACATCCCAGGTAGGACAAAGCAGGACGGCACAAGATTCTATCATGCTACTCAGAAAGGCACACAATTTAAAACTTATGAATTGTTTATTTCTGGAAATTTCCATTTAATATTTCCAGACTGCAGTTGACCGTGGCTAAACTGAAGCCACAGAAAGCAAAACCATGGATGAGGGGCGACTACTGTACATTCAACTCTTCCTCCGATTCTTCTTTGGGACCCTTAACAATGCCCAACAGTCATACTGCATTTCTCTAATCCAGCAGTTCTCAACCTTTTTGGTTTCAGAACCCCTTTACACTCAAAAATTATTGAGGACCCCAAAAAACTTCTACTTATGTGGGTTATTTCTATTGATAGCTAAGATTTTTAAACATTTATTCATTTAAAAATAACAAGTCAATTACATGTTAATAACTTTGACATATAACATTGTATTAGTTTCAGGTGTACAACATGATTCGACACTTGGATATACTGCAAAATGATCACTGGTATACATCTAATTAACATTCATCACCACACAGAGTTACAAAATTTTTTTTTCTTGTGGTCAGAACTTTCAAAATCTACCCTCTTAGCAACTTTCAAATATATAATATAATATTATTAACTACAGTCACACATTGCTTAACAACGAGGATACATTCTAAGAAATGCATCACTGGGCAATTTCGTTGTTGTGCAAACATCATAGAGTGTACCTACACAAACCTAGATGGTATAACCTACTACACACCTGGGCTCTTATAGTATACCCTATTACTCTTAGGCTACAAACCTGTACAGCATATTACTGAATGGAATACTGCAGGCAATTATAACACAAGTGTTTGTTTATCTAAACATAGAAAAGATACAGTAAAAATATGGTATAAAAGATAAAAAATGGTACTCCTGTACAGGGCACTGAGCATGAGTGGAGCTTGCAGGACTGGCAGCTGCTCTGGGTGAGTCAGCGAGTGAGTGGTGAGGGAATGTGAAGGCCTAGGACATTACTGGACACTGCTGTAGACTTGATAAACACTGTACACTCAGGCTACACTAAATTTATAAAAATTATTTTTCTTTCTTCGATAATAAATTAACCTTAGTTTACTGTAACTTTTTACTTTATAAACTTTATAATTTTTTTTAACTTTTTGACTCTTGTAATAACACAGCTTAAAACACATTGCACAGCTGTACAAAAATATTTTTCTTCTTTATATCCTTTTTCTATAAGCTTTTTTCCATTTTTTATTTCTTTTTTTACTTTTTAAACTTTTTTGTTAAAAACTAAGACACAAATACACATATTAGCTTAGGCCTACACAGGGTCAGGATCATCAATATCACTGTCTTCCTCCTCCACATCTTGTCCCACTGGAAGGTCTTCAGGGGCAATAACACACATGGAGCTGTCATCTCCTATGATAACAATGCCTTCTGGAACACCTCCTGAAGGACCTGCCTGAGGCACTTCTTGAGGTGTCACTCCTTTCAGAAATATGTCCATAGTGGTTTGCCTGATTTGTTTCTTTTTTTCATCACAGATTTTCTTGTAAGCAGATAATGCACCATGAACATTCCTCTCTGTTAAACAAAACCTTTCAGTGTTAGGGTCCATGTTTTCAAACTTTTTAAGGAGTTTGTTGAGGTCTGCAAAACCTTCTACTAAACCCTTCACTGTGAATTTTCTTGGGGGGTTCTTTTTCTTCAGCAGTTTCCTTTTGTCTTGCCTCTTCTTCAGCTATGCATTCCTGTTCCAGTTAAAACAACTCATTAGTCGATTCCTCAGGAACCACCTCTAGGAGCTCCTCAATGTCATCCTCAGCCACATCCAGGTTAAAGCTGTCTCTCATCTCACCCACAACCTTGTTGATTTTTGCAACCTCCTTATCCTTGGCAAGTCCTTTGAAGTCACAGACGAACCTCTTGAGTGTCTTCTTCCAGATGCCATTCATACACTCCTTGGTGACATCACCCCAAGCCCAAGCAAGGTTCTTGATGTAGTCATATGTTGTAATCCTTCCAGAATTGCATCCATGTCTTCTCAGTGTCTTCCTCAGTTGCAAAAGTAGCCTGAGAAAAGGTCCTTCTCAGGGAGTAGGCCTTAAAGTTGTTGTAACTCCTTTGGTTGGATCAAAGATAGCGTTTGGAGGGAGAAACACTGCTTTGATATTAGGATGAAGACCATCAAAAAAAGGAGGTTGTCCTGGAGCATTATCAATAATAAGCAAAACCTTGAAAGGTATGTTATTCTCCAAAGACTACTTCTCCATTTTGCTGGCATAGCAATTCAGGAGGGCATCTTGAAAGAGGAGCTGGGTTGTCCATGACTTCTTACTGCTCCTGTAGTACACTGGCAGTGTGTGCTTACTGATATGCTTGAAGGCCCTGGGGTTCTCACTGTGCTAGATCACAAAGGGTTTCAATTTGTAGCCTGTAACATTGCCCCCAAGCAAGACTATTATCCTGTCCTTAAAAGCCTTGAAATCTGGCACTGACTTCACCTCCTTATGGATGAAAGTCCTTTCAGGCATCCATTTCCAGAATAGGGAAGTCTCATCCATATGGAATATTTGCTCTGGCAAGTAATTTTCCTCCCCAATGAGCTTATCTAGAGTTTCCAAAAATTCTTCAGCTGCCTTCACATCAGCACTCGCAGACTCACCACTCACTTTCACATTATGTAATGAATAAGATTCTTCCATCATTTAAAACACCCAGAGCTAGCAGTAAATTCAACATCGTAGTCAGGTCCAGCGTTTCCTTTCAACATCACAAAGTTTTTGCTTTGGCCGTGTTGTCATGGTGCTGAGAGGAATACACTTCTGTGTCTGGTCTTCAATTCAGGTCATCAGAAGTCTCTCCATGTCTGATATAGGCCCTTCTCGCATTTTTGTTAGTCTCATTACCTTCAAGGAAGCAGATCCTTTAGCAGCTTCAGTCACTTTGTTCTTGTTCTTCAAGATCCTAGCTATAGTGGAATGGGACACGCCTGACTGGCAAGTAATAACCATCACTGATTTTCCACCTTCATAGTCCTTAATCACTTTTAATTTCATTTCCAGGTCAATTACTTGACGTGGCCTCTTACTGGCAACATTAGCAGTGGATTTTGTACACTTAGGGGACTTGATGAACAAAATAACTGGAGATTAAATCAGAAACAAGGAAATGATGTAATTAAGAGATGCAGTAAACACACAACGTATGAGGCTGCTACCGGCGTTAACAGGGCATACTGTTTTACAGTAAACTAATTTTTTTTAAGTAGAAAGAGTACACTCTAAAATAATGATAAAAAGTTTAGTATAGTAAATATATAAACCAGTCACATAGTCCTTTATTATCATTATCAAATATTATGTACTGTACATAATTGTATGTGCTATACTATTATACCGGCAGCACAGTAGGTTTGTTTACAGCATCACCACAAACATATGAGTAAAGCGTTGTGCTACAGTATGATGGGTATGATGTCACTAAGCAATAGGAATTTTTCAGCTCCATTATAATCTTATGCAGTTCACTGTTGACCAAAACACCATCAGGCAGTGCATGACTGTACAGTCACCATGCTGTACATCACATCCCTATGACTTATTTATTTTATAACTATAAGTTTGTACCTTTTACCACCTTCACCCATTTTGCATGAATAACTTTTTTTTTTAACCAAAAAAATCACTATTTTCTAAACCAAAAAAATTTACTGACAAGAATGGCAACATTTTAACAATTTTACAGATCTTTTTAATGTCTGGCTTAATAGAAGACAGCTGGATTCTCATATCTGTGTCTATTATGCTTGCTGTTGCAAGATCACACATCTGGAAAACTCCACTGTTCACTTATGAGAGAATGCAAGTGGAAAAGGCAAAAAACTACCTTAGTATTATCATGAAAATCTGACCCCGCAGAACCCCCAACACAATCTTGAAGAGCCCCAGCCCACATCTGGAGAGTCACTGCTCTGATACACTGTGGGAATTCACATTCCCACACTTTTCAATGACTATTTT